GCTGGCCATACCGGTAGGGTAAGCGCAAGGCACTCGTATCCGTACCATTTGATCCTACGTGCTCGAGTACGAGTACGAGTACATCACTCGAGTCTCGGGAGGTAGGAGATGGCGCCCCTCCACCCGATAATTGAATCTCAGATTTGCCGTATCATACTCGTACTGACCCTATCTTAGTGCCGGCACTGTAACCTGCCATACACCCCCCTGTCTTCACGCCCTTCTACTACCGTACCCTACTCGCACAGTACCGGTACGACTCCCCAATCCTCTCTCCAAAGGTTCCCTGAATGTGTTCCCCTTGCTGGGGAAATCTTCCTTGACGCAGTTTGCCGGTCTAAATGCCAAGACATAAGGCTTCTTTTCTGTTTTCTGTGGATGCTAAAATTTGTACCGCACCCTTCTCGCACAGTACTCGTGCATACCGTGCTGCACCGGCGCCGGTACTCGAGCGCGGTGTCATAGATTGCAATTGTGACATATGCCGGTAACTGCCGATGCGCTACTGTGAGAGCCTTCCTGTTGCACGGTGCTGGACGAGTGCGATGGTCTATAATACCGGTACGGTATCCCAAGTAAAATCCCGCCACGATACCAGTTCTGTAGCCATAAGGCCTGGTTGGAAAATCCATTGAATTCTGCCGCTGGATCCATATTCCGTTCCGACATTATCATGCCCACTGGCACCCTTTCTGACCATCCATGTCAACCATCATGTTCCATCACCCCCATGCTGGCTGCTCGGAGCTGCACCGAGCAAAGCCTTTCTGCGGAGGAAGGGAAAGAGAAAAGGAAGGAGGAAAAAGAAAAGAAAAAAACAAGTGTCAAACCTCAGCCTCCTGGGTTAGAACTTCCAGTTCCTACAAATTTAGACTTATCCGCATCTGTAGTGTTCCGCTGAGGGCTGACACCTCATCGAAACGAGAGCAGCCGCTTCCTTAACAGGCTCCGTACCGGTGTGAGACTCAGATGCAGAGTGCCTGCCATCGCCGAAGCATGGGAGCACCCCGATCCGTGGACGTTGTTAGGTGTATCACTTTTATTCCCCCACCCCCCCCATCTCTTGACCGAAAAGTTGGAACCTGATATCACTTCTCGAATTCCCTTCGCGCACTGCTGTTTTCGGTAAGTAGGATGAGAGGAATGATCATCTTCAGATGCTGGGTAAATAGCTGTTTCCATCGCATGGGAGCCGCGGAACCGCAGCGATCGGAGAGTAAAGTGATACTACGCTTGCTGCCTCAGTCGCCGTGACCAGTCACTCGTCGTTTTCCTGTGGCTTGACCAGCCGAGTTGTGTCGAGAGTATTATATTGATCGTTGGCCAATTGCAACTTGGCATTAGGGACGGTCAAGTTTCTCCACGCTTTTGAATGGGCCCATTGCGGCGACTGAGGCAGCGCGCGCAGTGCGATATTAGTATACTCGGGTGCTGTACGAGTACGGTATGATACAGTGTTGTAAAAAGGAAAAGAAAAAAAACTCGCATCATAATTTATATATCATACCGTATCATACTCTCATAATCCACTACCCTACCCTTACTCGTACCGGCCCTCTGCTGGGGTTTAACCTTGGCATTCGATTCCTGTAATGGAATATTTCAATGGTTACCCGGCCAAGGAGTTCCTGGTTCGAGACGTGGCTTGATGGCATCAAAGAGCTTTCCCCCTTCTTTGGTTTGCTCGTATCATACAAAAAGATGCGAACCGTCTAGGGATACTTTGAGCCACAATTTTCTGAACAACTTCGATCAAACTTCGATATGCCCGCGCCGAATCCTCAGATTGCCGGGGACGGCGAGGAGGGCGGTCAGGCGAGTCCCCCCCCCCCATCAACATCTTCCGAGAATGAAGCCTTTCTGGCTAACTCCCAGCTCGTGCCCTTTACAGTCGGTCATCAAATCTGCCATCAATGGTGTCCTCATGTTTGTGGCTATTCAAACCGCCATGAGTAATTTATCCCCCCCAAGATCTTATAACCCTAACTAACTTGAATAGAGTTCATAATTCCTAAAACCAGTGCGCCCGCGGCAACTGCTCCGTCTTCATTCGAGGAACGAATCTCCCCGGATGATGCATCGACATACATGTCTATCCCCGAAAAGGTTTTCCCTCTTTGGCCTACAGAGGAGCCGGTAGATATTTCTGTTTATGTATCCGAGTTGCTTGCCCTACCGCCCCTTTCCTCCAAGCAAATGGCCTCTAGCCTCGTCCTCAACGAGAGGAACTTCCAAGCCGATGACTGGTCTGAGCACCGTAGTGTGACCGTTGATATCCCACTCTCCCGACACGTGCAGAACAATGGCACCCTGTTTGCGCACATTTATGTTAGCCGTGCCGGAGCCGCTATGGACCCCACTGATCCCGATTACGACGCCTCCAAAGCCTTTAGAATCATATCGCTCTTGACCAAATATATGCCAAAGAAGAAGGTTGTCAAGACCAAAAAACTGATCGGTGGTGGTGATGATCACGGGAGCGAGGGAGAGGAAGTCGCTATGCCGGATATCTCTGGATCGATTGTTTCATACTTTCATCCTAATCTAACACTGGATGTCGTCAATAATGCTGATGTTATCGGCTTTAACACGCTTCCACCGCCACTCCGCCAGCATCTGGTGCTCGAGACAACCGGTGCTCGGGACTCAACCGGAAAGAATGGATGGTATTATCCGATTGTATTTGTGAACGAGTTTTGGCAGTTGAAAGACCACATGGTTGAGCTGAATGGCACTGTTAAGTATGCTTTAACCCTAGCATTTCGACACTGCCAAATAGGGCTAACCCCTAAAACAATAGGTCTGTCCCTATGCACATTAACCTTGCTCCAACTAGCTGGTGGAAATTCCAGATGTACTCCTCCCTTGACGCGTCCTTTAAACAATCGGCTTCAACCCCTGGAATTGGGGGTTCGGCAAACACAGGAGCTGAGCTGGAGGAACTCAAGCGTGTCCTTGTGGAGACCAACATCTTCCTTCTCGGAACTACGTTTATTGTATCCATCTTGCATACCATCTTTGAGATGCTGGCTTTCAAGAATGATATATCCCACTGGCGTAACAAGAAGGACAACGTAGGCATTAGTGTGAGAACCATTCTTGCAAATGTCTTTATGCAAGCTGTTATCTTCCTTTACCTCCTCGATAATTCGGACGGAACTTCCTGGATGATTCTGGCGGGCCAGGGATTCGGTATACTCCTCGAAGCATGGAAAATCACGCGCATGGTCAATGTCAAGATCCGGCCTATCAACGGTTTTATTCCTTATAGGGTGATTTTCGAAGATAAACACAAGCTATCAAACCTGGAAAAGGAAACTAAGGAGTACGACGAGGAGGCCTTTAAGTATCTTTACTGGGTTGCTGTCCCATTGTTGTTGGCGTACGCCGTCTACTCTGTTCTTTACGACACGCACAAGAGCTGGTACAGCTTTATTATCACTACTTTGGTCGGTAGTGTTTACGCTTATGGGTTCTTGATGATGGTACCGAGCTTGTATATCAACTACCGACTCAAGTCTGTGGCGCATATGCCTCGTAAAACCATGATTTACAAGCTGCTCAACACGTCTGTTACCTCACTCCACCGACCGCACCCCTCATTACTAACAGCTACTCCAGTTTTATCGACGATCTCTTCGCTTTTACAATCAAGATGCCCACACTCCACAGACTCGCGACACTCAGAGATGATGTCATTTATTTCATTGCTCTGTACCAAGCCTGGATCTACCGAGTGGATTATAGACGCGTCAACGAATTTGGACAGGGAGGAGCGGACGACGGAGGGAGTGAGGGGGAGATTGAAACTAAGAAATCCGAGGGCGCCGCTTCCATCGGAGTCGAGGCGAAAACGAGCGGAGTGGATAAAGGAAAAAAGGCCACCAAGAGAAAATAGATGATGGAATACTATAGCTGTTATAGACATATCTTAGCTTAATCGAAGGTGGGGTTGTGTGGTGTTATTGAGTGGCGGAATGTATCATAGGATTCATAACTATGTGGTGTCATGAAGTATCACTCGATATTTGTTTTTCTCTCACGCTTCCCTTTCTGGAAAGCAGACGGAATGGAGCAGCTGTTGCCCTACAGCACACTGATTCTGATGGGTTGCAAAAATCGTATAGTTTCTCGCATCAGAGTTGGAAGAGGTAAAGCAAAAAGGATAATTGCACCCGCACTACCATTCGCAACCGGCCCCCTAATCTATTGGGGGGGGTGATTATACGTGGCGCCTACAATGGAGCCTGCAATGCTACAATGGGGGTGCGCCCCTTCATTCCCCCAGGGCGAGTATGATGCGGGGTGTGGGTGGTCGCGCCATCGCGAATCACTCGTTAAACAGCTGCCTCCTCGTTTGGATGGGGTTTGGACGAAAAGGTTCGCCATTAGCCCATGCTAAGCGGGTTGGTCTTCTTCCCAACAGTCTAGTATCGCTTTTTGCCCGCATGATTCTCGGGGTTTTGGTGGACCTTAGGCCATATCGGGATACTCGAGTACCTGTAATGTTACCGGTACCGGAAATGGTAAGTATTACAGTTGGTTCTCCGTCCAATCATTTTAAAGTTGGTATCATACTGTACGAGTACTCGTACTTCTTTTGCGCTACGTGCAGGGTACTGGAGTGTTGGCGGAAATAGGATAGGGTGGATGGATGCTTGCGTTACGGTGTGGGGTATCGGGAATCCTGATATTAACTCACAGTTCTACAATTTCGCTCATAAATTTTCTGTCCGTTTGTTCCTCCATTTATATATGCTTCTGGAAAGCGTCTGCAGAGTGCCAATCATCGGTTCTTTAAGACCATACGATACGGTATGCACCTGTACAGCACAGTGCCGAGACCTGAGGGGAGGGTGAAGCCTTAGTCTAGGTCTTTGGTGAGGGTTTGTTGTGGAATTACCGTGCTGTGGGCGACCGGTTACCCGGTCGAGGGCTGGGAGGGGGACGGGTGGACATCCACCGAATGAGCGAACAGTTTGAAGCACCGAATTTATCGCTGGGGCGCCACGCCTGCGTTCCACAAGCTATCATGGCTTGTTGGCGAGGGTAAATATTGATGTTCTGGCTGGTTCCGCAGAATGCGCCTTGCCCTAAATATAAAAGCTGCTGCTTGCTGTTCGACCCGCAACACACGTAAGTTACCACTGCCCCTCCATCCCTTCACCTCCTACCCATAGCTCCTCCCTCCCTCCCCGCAATCACCTTTCACACATACCTCTGCTCCCAAAGCTTCGAATCTTCATACCCTATCGCCATGGACGATTACAGCACTCTTCGGACCAAAACCTTGGGCTCTGCACAGGAGGAGGAAGCTGTTACAGTAAATACCAGAGCTCTTGTATGTGGCCGCTCCCCTCAGAACTGCACTTCTGTCACCTTCTTTGCTGACTGGGCGGGCGAATTAGATCGATAAAGTGCTTGCCCGATATTCTGGCGAGAATACCACGTAACCATCACCCCTCGGCTTTCCCCGGCCTTGTTTCGTGACTGATGGGGCATTTCTTTTGTACAGGCTGCGAGAACTTCTGCAGAATGCCGCGGATGCAAACGCCAATTCTGTGGAGGTTCGGTTCCAATCGGACGGATCTGCCTCGGCACCTCCGGGCCATCGACCCGATTTCAAGGAGCTCGTGAAGTCTAAGATGCGGCGAATGCTGGTCAGGAACGATGGCCATTCCTTTCGAGATGAGGACTGGCAACGACTGAAGAGGATTGCGGAAGGGAATCCCGACGAGACAAAAATTGGTGCTTTTGGTGTTGGGTTTTACAGTGTGTTCGCCGATTGCGAGGAACCTTTTGTGTCTTCCGGTGATCAAGCTATGGCATTTTACTGGAAGGGGAACTCTTTATTTACTCGGAGAGCAAAGCTTGATGCTAAGGATCGATATACAACCTTTTTGCTGGAATACCGGGAGCCATCCGAACTGCCAGACTTGAAAGATTTATGCAAATTTTTTGCCACTTCACTTACTTTCGTTAGGCTGAGTTCCATATCACTCTATGTTGACGACCATTGTCTGCTGTCGCTACAAAAGAAGACTTCTCCATCAGACGTTTTGCAGATACCCGAGTCGATAAACCCGCTTACGCGAGACAAGTTGATGCGGATTGCCAGGGTGGATACGGAGAGTGTGCAGATTGATGCAAAGTACATGAATGTCACCCATTATAGCCCACCTGTAGCCGAGATTGGCCAAACCTTTAGACAAATATTTTCTCGCTTAGCTTCTCAGCCGGTCACGCTTAAGGAACCGTCTCAGTCGGATTTGTCTGCTTATACAACGGTCTCGATATTTTTGCGGATAGCGACGGCGACTGTGAACACCTCTGTTACTACTTCATTCGCCAAGGAGCTCGAGCGTGCAACTAAAAAACCGCCACCTAGAACCACAAAACTGGCTATCCTGTCGATGTCGAAGGACGAGCTTGACGCTTCGGAAGATGCGGAAATATTCTCGAATGTATTACCTGGCAAGTCGGGGAGAATATTCATTGGGTTTCCAACGCATCAGACAACTAGCATCGGCGCCCATATATCCGCTCCTTCAGTGATACCAACTGTTGAGAGAGAGAATATAGATCTTAATGCTAAGGTTATTAGAAACTGGAACATTGAGATGCTCAGGATCGCCGGTATCCTGGCTAGGATCATGTACACCGATGAGATGTCAGCGCTGGCTAGACGGGCTGAGAGACAAAAGGGGCAATTAGAAGACTTGTTTGACCACGCTATCCATATCATGAGGCAATTCACGTTCACCCCCTCGACGCCGGCCTCGGCTGTAGGAGACCATATCAGGGTGGAATTCTGGAGCTGTTCTAACAGGAGATCAAATTCGATTGAGGTTATGTCCACCCGAGGAGTTTTGCCAAGTGACCGAGTGCGGTTGTCGAGCGATGTTAACTTTTTGGTTGGATTACCGCTACTGCCGGAGAGGATTGCGAAGGAGGCACATGAGTTTATAAGGGGCTTGAGGGAGGTTGGTCTACTAACGGAGATCACTACCACTGATATCCAGCAAGAGCTCCAAAGCAGAGCTTTGGGTGGAGAACAGCAAGATTTATTCTTAAAGTGGCTGGCAGAAAAACGAACTAAGGGGGATCTGGACGACAATATTGTTCGGAATTTGCTCGGTGTAGCTGTTGCAACGATCTCCTCGCCAGAGGATCCCAACGGGGCTGTCACAATTCCTATCTCTTTGGGAATGATAAAATATTATGTCAATGTCAACAAGTTGTCCCCTGATGTTCCGATCCCTTCAGACTGTCTGCCGTTCCAAGTCACCAAAGCTTTGACCAGGCCCCAACTAATGGCACTCGGGTGGGAAGAGATCGCGATTCTGACCTGGTTGAGGTTCATTTGCTCCCCACCTCATCCCTTGCCGGCCCCGCAAAACATCGAGCTTTCGACAAAGTTCTCAACCCAGGTTTTGGCAATCGTCTCCAAGAATTGGGAACCAATGCCTAGCAAACAGAAGCAGGAGGTCGTTGACCTTCTAAGAAACAAAAGGTGCATACCTACAAAGATGGGCTTGAGGATTCCTACGGAAGCATATTTCAGCACAGTCAAACTTTTCCAGGACTTGCCGTTGATTGTGAATATGGGTGGCGTACGGGATAAATTCCTCACGGCTCTCGGTGTTAGGAAGACGGTGGAACTTAAGCTGGTGTTTGAGAGGTTGATGAGCGAAAATGCGACTCAGGGCAGGACAAAATGGAGCCACCTTGACCTTATCAGATACCTCGCTAGTGTCTGGAACGATATCCCTAAGGACGACATTACGAAACTCAAGAGCAAGGCTATCTGCAAGGCGGAAACTTCGGATCCTCAGTCGCAACAACGTCTGTATAAAGTTTCACACTTGTACGAACCAGATGATCAACTCAGAAAGCTTGGGTTGCCGATACTTTACTGGCCGAACTGGAAAGCTGGTAGCGTGGAAGGGAGGTTTTTAGCAAGTCTTGGGCTCAAGAGGTATCCTAGTGCGCAGGACGTTTTAACGATAGCTGCTGTTTCTGCGGATGATGCGAGGCTTAGAGAGGCTGCCCTACAATACTATGTGAACAATTATTACAATAACGGATATACGGCTTTCAACGCTGCGGGGCTGGAGGTGGCGTTTTTACCCCTTCAGGGTGGAAGTCAAGAGAAGCCGAAGCTGGCCGCACCCGGGCACTGTTATTCTAACCCCCGGGCTGCTATCTTGGGCTATGATATTTTACGGAGTGACCTTCAGGAGCACGGGCCAAAGTTTGGGGTTTTTGCTGATCCTCCTATGACATTCTGCGTTGACAAACTTATCATTCAACCACCGACCACGATCCGCGACGCCGAGGAAAAGTTTTCCTACCTTTCAACTCGGCTTGCGGACATTCTACCCCATCTTGTTGAGCGACTGTCGAGCGCCCGCATTGTGCCCGTGCCATCAAAGCCCAGCGATATACGACCGGGTTCGGCGGGGAAACTGAAGTGGATTCCGCCAAGGAACTGCTTTCTAGGAGGTCAGGATAGTATCTATTTTGAGATCTTTGACTTTGTCGACTTGGGGCAAGATGCAAATGCTTTCTTGACTAAATGCGGGAGTAAGCATGAGCCTACAGTGGCAGAGGTTGCCTACATGATTGTTCGTGAGCCCGATCGTTTGCTCGATGTCTTCGGGGGCGAGAAGAAATACATGGGGGCCTTGAGAAGTATCGCGGAGAATTGGAGCCACTTGAAGAAGGACAAAATTCTCGTCAAGGAGATGCGTAAGAGTCGGTTTCTTGGGGCGCTGCGGGAAGTTTCGGCCGGCAATGGGGCTGATGGAAGCGCCACCGAAGAAAATGCCGATGGAGGCACCCTCAGGGAGTTTACTCTGGCTAGGGCGGACCAGGTTTTGGTGATCGATGAATACGTGACCTATGTGATGTTCAAGAGCGAGATTCTGACAGCCCCGCAAGAGGACATTCTCGAGAGTTTTTATACGGTATGGAAGCTTGGCTTTGTATTTGGGGTGGTATGGTGCTAACCTTGAGTTAAATTCTAGTCTTTGGGCGCTTCGGCCGTGTCAGCAAAGGTCTTTCCCGAGTGGCGCATTGGGAATCCGATTCACGCGGAGAAAGAGGTAGAGAGGTTGAGTAAACTTGTTTTGGAGAGGTGTCGTTTGTTTCTTCATAACAATAATGAAGAAGTTGCACATGATGCTCAGTGGTTGGAAAACAACCTGCGGGTTTCATATGTTGATACAATCCGTGTGAGGAATACCCTGAAACACGAAGGATATAAAGCAATTAGTCATCAACAAAACAAGACGGCTGCGATAACGAGGGATAATAATTCCACGAGGCAGACTAATTTGTATGTGACTCATAATTTCTTGTATTACGACGTCTCGGTGGGACTCGTGACTATCATACTGAGGCGGCCCAAACCGCATTCCTATTTGCTGCTGGAGAGTTTGCTAAGCACTGGTATGCATTTTCACCGAATTCCTGGACCATTCGATTTACTAACAGGATTACAGACCTGATGGTACTAAAGTCGCGAGGTTTTAACGTTGAACGGATTCTCAAAGCAAAGGCTGCTGAGGCTCGTATCGCGGAAGACCAGCGTCGGAGGAGGCTCGAGGAAGAACAACGGAGGTTTGAGGAAGAGGAGAAGCTGGCACGTGAAAAGGAGAAGCTGCAGCAGAAGCAAATTTTGCGGGAGCAGGAGAAGCAAGCCATCCAAGAGCTCGAGGAGCGACCCACTATGCCAGGCGCATTTACTGAACCATCTCCTCAAAGGAGGACAAATCTCCCACTCCCTTCCATCATGGATAGGCCGAGGCCGAACAACTTTTTCGGGAGGGTTACCAAAACTCTCGGTTTTGACAAGGATAACCAGCAAGCAGAACAGATAAAAAATTTGCTCGATTACCAGTCTCGCGAGCAACAGCAGCTGGTGCAGTCATCGATAACGCCGACCCCACATGCGCAGCCACAGGTGGAAAAACCTACCGAACCCCATAGAATTAGGGAAAACTTGCGCAGAGCAGTGGAATCTAGTAGAAGCCATGACTCTAATAACTTGTTTTGCCCTCCGAATGCTTTTGCTGTTAAGGAGCAGAAGAGCTATTGCGATTCTCGGTATGTCCCCCGCACTAACTTTTGGTATTTTAGTGCTAACCGGGGGAAAAAGCCCGAGCCACGATATCACCTTTGCTGGAAATTCTGCCCTGGGAATCAAACTGTACGTCGACAAGAGGGTGAAGGTGCAAGACTTTTTCGGCAAAAATGTGGCGGCGGTCAACTCGTTTTCCCAACTGCTGAAGCAAATCGCCGAGATATATTCCCTCAACATTACCTCGATGCACATTTACTTTGACGAGCAAGGGACGGCGATTGCGTTTAATACTAACGGTTCGATATTCTGCAATCTGCGCTTCTTCCTACAACTCCACTCCGGAGCAGTTGCTAAGGGAGATACGGAGAAAGCCTTGGCATATTGGTTCGTTGTTGTCGCACATGAGCTGGCGCATAACCTTGTCTCGGACCATTCTGCACAACATTCCTTTTATGCGTATGTCCACTACTTGCCTCCCCTCCAGTTCATTTGTCACTAATTAGTAGGGTTGTCTACAGCGAAACGTTCGTACAGGAGTTCTTTACCGGAGCCATGACGGCGATTCAGAGGGGGAAGGAAGCGAATGCTCAACCATCTAGTTCTGCATAGACAGAGATACATAGATTTAGATAGTTTTTTTTCTTTTTCTTTTCCCCTGCTTAGGCCCCTGGAGTGGTTCGGAAGTTGGGTTGTATCATTGTCATTAGCTGTCATGGGTACAATGGAGTTTTTTCCTCTCCTTTCTGGCGGACGATGGTGTGGTGGAACCTATTGTTCGCGATTGCGATAAATTCTCTCGCGCTTTGTGGTACTAGAAAGTAGCAGCGGCGCAGTAGTTGTACAGTACAGTACTGTACCGGTAGTGGTCATATGTTATCACTCGGGGTACTCTGCTCCATGCCTTGTTTGCTCTGGGATAGGTAGATGAGTGGATGGTGACATGGTAGAATTATCCCGGACAGCGGGTACTGTACTCGTACACGTAATGCGACATGCAGGCTGCCCGGGGATTCAGAGACTCGATGCACTGTTTTGGGATCCGTACTAGTTTAGCTACCGGTACAGCATCACACCACTTTCCACCGGGCCGAGGCGCGGCAAGGGTCGGCCCCGTCGCAATTTCGGCCCCTGTATGCGGCCCGCATGCGATGAACCACTGCCATCATCACGCCCCCCAGCCACGGGAGGGAGAGATTGGGCGAATGCCTAACAACCCACCGGAAGTCGATCCCACAGGGGGTACTGTACTGTACTATGCAATACCAATATCCCTAGAAACCTTCATCGGCAGAAAGGTGTCTGGATCGGTCTGGGGTTTTTATTATTATTGTTATTATTACATTTTTGGGATACCGCGATGGTATTCAGATCTGAGGAGGAGGAGGAGGAGGAGGAGTACCGTAGGGGTGATTATTTGTGATTATGATTACCTATAACATATAATTAGCCGCTAAAGAACTATGGCAATGCCGGTGTTAATGGGTAGTCTACTGCACCGTATCATACGGGTGGGTGTATTTTATCATGTTTCGGAATCATCATACCCCCCTCCTATCGTGAAGTCAGTTCCATCATATCATACGCCAGGGCACGGTACGAACGATACCACCGGGTGCCGTATCGTGCATCCTGCCTCCGCCGCCATCACACCCCTATGATACGAGTCCATTGTTGCTTACGAATCCGGCTAGCGCGGTTCTCGTTTCTTCCGTTGCGCACTCTCGAGCACGCTCTCACTCATGTTCGTATCATACGTCCCTTCCGTCTCCCTTGCCACACACCGCAGGAAAGACCACGCCGGAAAGGGGAAAATCGAGAAAGTAAAAATCAATAAGAGATAAAATAAAATCCAAGCCATTCCCAAAGTGGTTATTTTTTTTTCTCTTTTGTTTCTCGATTTCTTACCACTACTCCGGGAGGTAGTTTCACAAAGTCTCACTCGCAGGTGATTGCGCTATAGTACAAACTTTTACCAGCTCAATCTGCGTGGGTTTCTCCCTCCAGGGATCGGGTGCATTTCGAGTCGGGAAGCATGCCTCCACTTAGCTTTTCTTCGGCGTCTCCGGCTGGTAGCAGCAGTTCTTCGCAATCGCTTCCCTCTTCTTCCCCTCATCCGGAGTCGCCGGGGGAGTCTCCTCCTCCTCCCCCTTCCTCCCCCCCCTTTCAACCCTACTCTACCCCTACCCCACCACTCAACCAATTCTTCCTGCCGCCGAACCCCCACGCTCCTTCCCCTCCCGGCCTGACAACCCTCCCAGCCCCCCTCCGGCAAAGGATCCTCTCCGAAACCTCCATCTCAGCCCTCCTGACCCTCTCGACAACGCACCCCACCTTCCGCACCGACATCCAAAACGGCAACGCCATAACCGACGCCGTCTTCAACTCCATCCACAACTTCCGCACCTCGAGGCGTCCTCCGAGCGTTCAGAAGCTGCTCTTCGCGGACCCCTACTTGCACCCCCTCTTCGCCAAGGCCATTGCTGAGAGCTACGATGGCGCCGAGGGGCTCTCGGAGGACCTCACGTCCGGCGAGTACTTTTCCTGGCTGCAGCAGAGGTGCTACGTCGTGCACTTGATAGATAGGTGCTTCTCCGAGATACAGGACAACGCGGATCACAAGGGGAAGGGGAAGGGGAAGGGGAAGGCGTATTGCGGGATAGAGGGGACCAAGAGGAAGATTATCCTCTTGCAGTTCTGGAGATTACTGGATTGTCTTGAGAACTGGAGCGTTTCGGTTTCCGCATCTTTGGATGGACCGCAGGGTGCGTTTGGACTCACATCCGATGACTACTTTGGCTGGTGCGTGGACTTTGTCAAGGGGTTTAAGCATGCCATCCTGTCTGACGAGGAGCGCGAAGATATGAGTGAGGTTGTGGGATTCTTTATGGAGATTCCTCCCGCGAGGCTGATTAAGGGTGGTGGGGGTGGGGGAGAGGGTAAGGATGGGTTCTGGAGGTTCATGGGCATGAGGTGTGTTGTGATGGGGTTTTGTCTCCTGGGTGGGTTGGAGAGGGTTGTTGGCGCGCTATACGGGAATTACGAACTCGCCGAGATGAGGAGTACTGGGAGGGAGGAGGGGATGGAGAGGGAGATGGCGAGGGGCATTGGGAGGTGGGTGGAGTGGGAGAGGGATAGGGCTGAGAGGAGGAGGTGGGATGCTAGGGGGGGCGGAAGGGAGGTGCCCGGGAAGAGAAGGAGGAGACTGACGAGGAATTGGAGTGGTAATGACCGCGGTGAAGCTAAAAATGAGCATAAGAATAAGAATGAGAATGAGAATGAGAGTGATGACGAAGGTGATGATGATAAAGCCGACGAAGCCCAGGACAGCGAAGGGCAAATGGCACAAGACACCTGAAATTATGCTTCCAGAGTAGAGGTGAAAAGAAGCGCTATGCGGTGATCCCTAAATAACTATCCTTTTTTTTTTTTTTTTTCCTTTTAGCTGGTGCCATTGGCAGTTCTAGAGTTTATATAACCTTGCTCCATTTAATTAACTGGCTCTATCCCCTCCGCTTTGTTATAGTATTTTTTATTTTTTCCTTTTTTTAATGAATTTCTACCATTTCTCTCTCGATAGCTTCGTCTATCCCATACGTTTTTCTCCCTTTCTCTTTTTCAGGATACTCCACTTTTCCATCCATTTCTGGTACGCTCTCAAGATGGCTTTCTTTTTTCTTTTTCTTTCGAGATGTCATCAAGAAATCCCCTCCTCTCCCTTCCGCAAAGTGCTCCCGGTGTAACTTACTGCCTTGATTGGACCGTTTAGCTGTTTGAAAAGAAAAAAGAAAAAAAACCAAAGAAAAAAACTGTTAACTTAGGATTTGATTGCTGGATGTATCATAGCTGAAGAAATCACAAATAGATTGCCGATACATCACTTACCGTAGCTTAACCTTTCCACAATGATTACGATATATCAAATTTCCTGACCACCGACTACAGTAGTAACCCTGGAAAAAACTTTGACCAAAAATCCTCAGCGGGGGGTATGATACGGTACCAAGAAAAATCTACGAATCTAGCCTCCACCAGATCTCCCACCTCCTGGAACAGCCAGCCAATCAACCACTAGAATCGCACCGAAAGAATGATCACGCAATTGCGAGGGACACTGCTACGATACCAACCCATGATATCATAGTCCCAAAGGCCGCAGGATACATTCCTATTTAGTCGTACGTCAAGTAGTACTATACATTCACGGGTCCTACATCTCTCCAGTCAGCCAGTCAGTCAGTCTGAGAGACCCCTACCGGATATATATATATATAAACGTACCAGTTGCCACAGTCAATACACCCAATCACGACATCCACCAAATCACTGGACTCACGGGCGGTCACTCGCTGCAACGAATCCTCCACTGCAGTACCGTATCGAAATTGCTACTCCAACGTGATGGAATGTATAGGGATGTCTGCATATACTATCAAGACAAGATGTGGATAATAATAATAGGAGTCATATTGATGTATATACTGTATATAAACCAGACCGCTGGTATAAACTGTAAGTTACAGTACTGTACATGTAAGATACCCGAAGCCGAAAACATAGTGAACGTCTCAGGAAAATGTTCTTTTCAACAAACCGAGTCTTTCATACCTCAAGTTATGATATACTCGAGTATTTCTTCTCTGGATGTCGACCCTTTCTGTGCAATCCCCCACAGCTTACACTACAGAAATGATCGACAGGCACGGACATCTAACTAACTAACCACCTACCTACCCGCCCACCTCCCTCCACTTTTTTTTTTTTTTTCTTTTTCCTTCTTCCGATTTCAATCTAGCTTAGCCGGGTATGAGAGCTGGTCCAGATGCGTGGTGGGAAGGGGCGTTAAATTCTACAGCAGATGGAATGTTTTTTTTTTGCGTCTCGGTGGAAAGGTTCTAGTGAGGGGGTATTTGCGGATGGATATGGTATCATACGGTGGAAAAGATTGTGTTGTGAAAATTCACGTGTGGACTATAGCTTATGTACTAGTAGTCGTCCATTGTTAGGGAAATGGCCATTGGGTTATGGGTATTTTTTTCTTCTATGAATTGTAACCGCTAACTTTGCTGTCTAGCATCCGCATGATAAGCAAACCTCTTTGGGACCGGCTTGGATCCTTTACGTCAAGTGGTATCGTACTAAAACAGCTTCTATAGACAAACATACAACCATTTATACACCCCCCAGGCACAAATTCAATATGTAAGCTAATTCCCCTCCAATTAAAGTTTGAAAACTCTCACCTCCCCACCCCTCTTCTCAAGAACCTTCCTAACCACGCCCCCCAACTTTCCCTGCTCCTCGCGCCCCTCCCTCCACGTCTTCTCCCCGGCGACCCGCTTGATAAACCCCTCTGGCCCGGATACTACGACAGCAACTTTGCCCCCTTCCATTCCCCTCTCCACATCTTGAATCCCAATCCCACCCTCCGCGTCCACAAAAACCTTTACAGAGACCTTACCTCCGGTCTTCCGCACTAAGTCTTCCACCTCCTCCGCCATAGCGCCCTCCGTTTCCGCTCTGCTCCGCACAGCCCAAAAGATCTCCGTCTCCGGAGTGAGCGAGTTGGCAGCTAATTGGAGCGCGGGCGCAACCCCCGTGCCCCCGGCAATGAACAACGTCTTATCCACTTCACCCACTGGCGGGAAAGTGTACTCCACCATTGGCCCTCGAAGGAAAACTTTATCTTGGAGGCCCAATGAGAAAAGATACCTCGTCACTTCCCCGCCCGGCTCCAGCTTTACCAGAAACCTCAGAGTCCCATCCTTCTCTTCTCCGGGATTACTGGGTAGCGGGGTGTAAGACCTGGCGATTTGCAACTGCGGCTGCTTGACCTGCACCGAGAGTATCCCCTCGGTGAACGGCAATTGCTGACCCGGGGGGTGCTCGGGGCGTAGGCTGAATATTGCAGTGTGACTGGGCGGAGACGTCGCGACGGGGGTTTTTGAGGTGAGGGTGTACGCGGTGAAAGTCTGGGGGTTTAGGTTCTTTGGTTGCGGTGATATGTGGAGGGTTGCGGCGTAATAGATTAGTCCCGAAGCGGCGATGAAGAGGGAGAGGGTTGGGGGGAGTTTTAGGCGGATGGGCTCTGGCGGGGCGTGAGTGTGGGTGTGTTGGGAGCGGTGGATCGGTGGCACATTTCGAACTTGATAGATGCGATGGTGTAGACGGGGGCGGTAGAGATGGGACAGGAAGCGGGTACGGGGAGTGAAGGTTGCCATGCGAGGTTCTCGTTGGCACCCGCTCGATGGGGGATTTCTTTAAAGTGAGGCTTAAAATATGCATTTCTTGGCGCTTGCAGGTGTGGCTACCGTATATGATACGATAATCGAAGGCGTCGGGAAAGAGGTTGAACTGCGACCGATGGATACTGTAGAGAGGGAGAGCTAAATCCAACATCGACATGAGATTTAAAACTTCGATTCGGAACGTTTCGACTTTTACCAGTACGTATTTCCAGCGGGAGAATTAAACGGGATCAAGACTATTGTTAATGGAGATTTAGAGCTCACCTCATGCCTTGTGTCTATCGGAAAGATAGCATGGCTTCGACTCGACGAGGACGAAATCCGCTTCACGCTCATGCCCGATCAGGGTGTTCAAGTCTTTGCGTATATATACACATCCTCCCTCCCACCGTTCCAACAAGCACCTCACCAAGCTAACCATTATACCTTCCAGTAACCTCGCCATCGTCAGCCCCCCCCCCCCCTCCCCACCTCTTCCAATAACAGCTAACAAGCCCAACCAGCAAACCCTCTTCGACTCCTACATAATCACCAGCGCAAACTCCAACATCATAAACCTCGAAGTCCCCCTCTCCCCACTGCACCGCGCACTCCGCTCCTGCGCCTTGGCCTCGGACGCAACCCTGCGCCTGACAAAGCGTTCCTCGGACAACGTTCCAATCCTCTGTCTGACAATAACGACGACGACAAACACCCTCGTGACCCAGGAAATCCCCGTGCGCGTGCTCTCGCCCGCCAGCGTCGCCAACATCAAAGAGCCCACATGTCCGGAGCCCGACGTTCACATCATATTACCGGCACTGCACTCGTTGCGCTCAATCGTCGAGCGCTTCAACAAACTAGACGCATCCAGGATCTCTATCGCCGCGAACATGAACGGGGAGCTCAAGATGCGCCTGGACGGGAACGATATGGTCAAGGTGGAGAGCGCGTGGACCGGTTTGATGAACCCGTTGCTGGATCCGGAGCAGGTTCCCGGCGGCGTGGAGAACCATCCGAGCACCACCAGAGAGAAATCGGCCTTCGCGTGGGTCAGGGTTGATGGGAAGGAGTGGGGGAGGGTGCTGAAGGTGGGCGGCATCAGCAGGAGGGTTGTGGCATGCTTTTGCGAGGATCATGCCTTGGTGCTCTACGTCTACTTGACGGACGAGGAGGACGAGCATTCCGCCGTCTTGACCGCAAGTTTCCCCCTCCTTCCATTATGCCCCCCGGGTTTGCAGGATTCACGCTGATCTTGGGAACAGTACTATTTGAGCTCCTTCGTCCTCTAGAGGTGCACATGCCATCACATACTACAATCCAATTATCATAGCTCCACCATTTGAGATTTCAACAACCAAACGCGTGCTACAAGAGCACACCAAACCGCACAACCAATCGCCGTCAGCCCCTCCCATTCATAACCCCACAGCAGCAACTCCAAAAGAGCGCAGTGCTATCGTACCCGTAGTATCATACCACAGCCCCTTAATTATTATTTCCGTTTCTTCTTCCTTTTCCAATAGCCGGCGCAGTGCGATCCGCAGACCCGACTTATGCCCCGCCGTATCATGATAGCAGTTGTCCCCGCAGCACTGAGGTTTTCTTTGAACTGGAGCTGTGCCACCCCGGTCCCCTTTCCTCCTGCTTAGTAAAATTAGCTTCTTGTGAGAGACCTAGTCGGTAGGGGACCATTCTTATCGCGAGATTTAGACTGACTAAAAGGTACTGTATTGCAATGCGCTCATGAATATCCGGCCACCCGGCTGAACAATCTGAACTAGTGCGGAAGAGCTTTGAAACAAAGAGTATCCCGCCAGAGATACACGTCTCCAAACTATCTTGTATATAGATAATGATAATTCCCGAGCCAGTTAACATTCATTCATACAACGTGACCCCGTCATCATATACCCCAAGTCATTATTAATATTCCAATCGTATCGTAGCAGCAGAGTTCATACCAAATCACCGCCAATTATAAACCCCCCAACTAGGAATCGGTATCTAACGAACAAACCAACAAGCTATAGCGCCACGCTTCACGAGGAAGGGAGAAAGGAACCGCCACCCAAACACATTAAACTCAACAGACCCCATCAAACTACAAAGCCCAATCCGCCAAATCATCCACCAGGCTAACAAACGGCTCGTCAATCTTCTTGATAGCAAACTCACTGCAGAGCACACACTCCGCCGCGACCAACGCATCAAACTCCTCTACCTTTGCCTCACGGCGTTTCCCCCTTGCATGCTCAATCTCCTCCTTAAGCTCCCGGACCTTCCTACTCCTGCCCACGCCTCCGCCCGCAACCACCTCTGCCGTGAGGCAGTCAGAGTGGAAGGCATGTTGACATGGGAAGACAAAAAATTGGCGGGAGAGGAGGGGGTATTGACACACGTAGCACCGTTCGCCGGGTTCGACTATGGCATAACGTTGGTCTAGGGCTATGATGTCGCTGCGGATGTGGCTGGCGGTGTGGGTGGACTCGTCCATTTCTTTCTTGAGTTGGTCGATGTGGTGGGAGTAGTCTTCGAGAGCTGTGCAGATTTCTTCCTGAAAAGAGTCGATTATGGTAAAGTCTGGGAAAAAGGGTATCAAGTCTTCGATTTTTAGAAGCTCACAGCGTTTTAGGAACTCAATTGCTCTGTTCAGTGTATATTAGTATAAGTGAGCTAATAAAAACTGGGTTATAATCTCACGTTTTGATATCCTTTGCTCCTCGGATTACCTCTTTGGCAACCGCCAACCACAGGTGTTTCCGCAATTCTGAATCCTCTTCTGGCCTATCCGCTATGACACTAGCGAGTTCGACATTCCCGTGCTTTAGTGCAAGTTCGACGGCCTGCAAGTAAAGGCCCATGCTTGAGTAGATATGTACACAGCTCTGGACATGACTATGCTGAATGCACAACCTGAGCGCAAAGTCTGCATCGTACCGGGAATCAGCGGTGTGGGATTCGAGATACTCTAATAACGAGGACTCGTCTTTCGAGTGATGCGAGGCATATATGCTGATTAGCGTGTTATGAACCGCGGCATCGGTGGAACCATTCTGATGTATTACAAACAGAAGATAGCGAACAGCCTGGTTCTTCTCAAGGGCCACCCTTGCGTACTTATTGTAGTTGAGCATCGCTGGTATTAGATTGCGGGGATTAAGATTTGATTGACGCATTAGAATGTCCACCGTCTTCATAGGAGCATTACTCATCAGAACGCTGGAGTACTTGTAGAAGATTTCCGGATTGTTTTGCCGCTTTAGCACGTCCAAGGCCTCTAGCCACTTTTCTCGTTGAATCCAATACGCCAGCACATAGCCGTAGTCGTGTACACTGTTTGCATAGTACAGTAACTCATCCCTTCGGCCATGTGAAGATATGATCTCGTAGGTTGTCTTCCGGTCAAGATCCGAGTTATATTTGCTGACGAAGTCTTGATATTCGAGCTGAACCGATGTCAACTGTGCCTGAATGTTAGGTGATGTGACTGCCCCGGCACCAGCACTAGAGGCTAGCGTGGAAACAGCATCCTCTAGGGTGTTCAGTTTAGCCATAAAGACTTCGACCAGCCAGCTAGCAACCATGATCCTTTGCATTACAGACTGTCGCCTTGTTAGCCAACTTAGCCAACCTCGAGCCGAAGATATGTCGCTGGATAGATCGACTTACACTCTTCTTTAGACTGGCCAATTTAGCCAACAGGTACATCCGCAGGGCATCTTGTTCGCCCCTTTCCAGAAAGGTTAGAGCTACCTCCTCGAAGCTCTTACTGCTCTGTCCCCAGGTCTCAGCTGCCTCCACATATCTTCCGCTTGCCGCTAGGTAGTCGCCCTGCTTGGTGGCTACCTGGTCTCTTTGTGAGTTAGTTTTGGCAAACCTCATAGCTTTCTCAAACGACTTTTCCCTTAGCAAAATCTTCCACAAATCTCTCTCTTCATCTGTCACCACGATCTCGTATATATCTGCTGAGGTGAAAACCCAGAAAGTGGATTTCTTGGGATCACTACAAAGACCCAAAACAGTCGTTCCCGGGTCCACCAAGGTTTGTTGAAACACAATGCTATCATCTAGCCGGTTGATAGCGTAAAGAGTGGTGTCCGTGAGCACCAGCACATGGTGGTGCGTTAGAGCTATTGACGCTACTGGACTATCTGCATTCGGAAGGGAATCCGATGAAAACAGTTTTGATGTAGACAGGACATGGGCGCCAAGGTCAGGGTTTTGTGGCGCAATAAGAAGCTTCCCGTGATATATCCCTGGAGCTGTGAGCCACGCAAACGATCTCTCGGGCTCATACTCGTCAGAAGATTCCGGAGATACTGAAAGCATGCTATGGCTAGCCGATGTGTCACGGAAATCCTGAATTACTAGATTACATTAGTCACCTATGAAACACATAGGAATGCCGGAACGTACTTGGAGCCTCCGAATCAAAAAAATTAAAGAATATTGACCCTGGATCAGCATGCCTCTGCACTTTCCCAGCCCAATGCATTATCTGCCCGGGTGTTGAAACCATCACCCGCCTCAATTGCTGGTTCCCCGGCAGTCCGTCCACCCACAGTCCAGTGACCGAGTGATTGTCGGGAGTCTTGTAGACCTGTTTCAAGTACCTCTCATCCTTCCTCAAAAAGTTATCTTCCATTCCCTCGATATAGGTTTCATATATGCTCCCATCCTGAGTTCCGATCAAGATCTCCCGTGTTGAGGCGGTTGGTAGAGCAGGTGACCAGGCCACGCACTCGATGTGAAGGGATTTTAGGCGGGAGAGATGTCGAGCCTTTGTAGACCGTGAATGGAGGTAAAAGTTCTCGCCGTGGGTAGTAGTTATGAGTAGATGGGAAGCCGTGGGGTCAAGGAAGATCCGACGAATAGCCCCGACTTCGGAGATCTTGCGGGGAAGGTCGATGTCTGCCGAGATAACCATTAGCCGCGAGCCTTCAAGCAGAAAGACTTCATCGTACCATCGACGTCCTGAGGGGAGGCCAAATCTATCCGTAGAAGCCTTCCAGAAGCGAGGGCGATAATGATAACATTATTGGCAACCTGGACAGCAACAAAGCTGGAAGCTATTTGAAATTGAAGCTGAACGTGTTCAACGTGGAATATTGGCAGGAGATCAGCGGAAAGATCTGGGATAGCAGCTGAAGCAGAGCCAAAGCCTGGGCCGGCCATCCTAAAAGGAGGAGTAGCTTCAATGAGGGGTTCGGGATGTTGAGGGGCGGGATGGCTCGAGGAGCTCACAAAGAGGTCAACACTGGCTGTTTGGAGATTGCCTGATCAGGTGATTTAAGTCTCCTATGGTGATGCCACCTGAAGGGTTGGGTGGGGAGGTGAGGCTTAATGGAGCCAAGTGGCGGTTCGCTGTCACAAAGAGCCGTCCTCCCCTCCCGCCCTGGCAGCCACAATAGTTACACGACTTGGGCCCACAGATCATGATAGGATACCACATGTAAGACCATCCGCCAAGACCCCCTTGCGTCCTAAACATGACAAAAAGTGTTTCTCCCACCAGACTGCCCCGCCAATCCCCCACCCCACAGCCCAATAATACTTGGGTTCACTCAAGAATCAGATCTTAAGATCCTGATACGAGTACTCGAGTATACGGTAGCCACTCCCCTCTAACCATCCTTCCCATTCATCCATCAATCCCCCATCCGAGTAGCCCCACCCATCTTTCCAAAGATGCGGGGGCTACCAATCAACTACCTCTCCTCTGTGAGACAACCATTCCTGAACCGGCCGTCACTCAAGTTATTATCCTCCGTGTCATCGCTACCTCGATTGTCACAGCTCTATGCCACTGAAGCTTCGTCGAACGAGCATGCGCCCCGTCCGGACTTCAATGCCATTGACAAGAAATGGCGTGAATATTTGAACAACCCTAAGGAGCCGCCAGTCCCGGGAAGCAAGTTTTATATTCTTTCCATGTTTCCCTATCCTTCCGGTGCTTTGCACATGGGCCATCTCCGTGTGTACACCATATCCGATGTGCTCGCTAGATTTGAGCGCATGCGGGGGAAGAGAGTGATACATCCGATGGGTTGGGACGCGTTTGGACTCCCAGCGGAAAATGCTGCCATTCAAGGGGGTGTTAGTGCGAAAGAATGGACTGAAAAGAACATTGATTCAATGAAGGAGCAGTTCAGCCTGATGAATGTGGGTTTTGACTGGGATAGAGTATGTATGATCGCTTCGCCTTCGCCTTCTCGATACACCCAGTCTAATTGTTTCTCAGGAAATAAGAACCTGCTCGCCGGATTATTACGTTCACACTCAACGCCTCTTTCTCAAGCTCTATGAGCACAGATTAGCATACCGTAAAGAGTCACTCGTCAATTGGGATCCCGTCGACGAGACCGTTCTCGCCAATGAGCAGGTCTCACCTCATGGAATATCCTGGCGTTCCGGCGCTGTGGTAGAACAGCGGACTCTCCCACAATGGTTCTTCAAAATCACTAACTACAAAGACGCACTTCTCAAGGGCCTCGAGGTGTTAGGATCTCGCTGGCCCCATAAAGTCAAGACCATGCAAGCAAACTGGATCGGCCTATCTAAAGGTGTGAAAGTTAAATTTCCTCTTAGCGCCGGGGAAACGGATCCCGGAAGTCACACCTACCTCGAAGCCTACACAACCCGTTTGGATACTCTACCTGGTGTACAATTTCTAGCAATCTCAAGCACACATCCGCTAGCCCTAAAGGCTAGCGAAACCGAGGAGTTCGTATTTAAATTTCTACTAGCCAGCGGAACGAAGCAGGATAAATCCTCGAAAAAGGGAGAGCTAATTAGGGGCTTCAAAGCCCTAAATCCTTTAACCAACGAAGAGATCCCAGTTTATGTAGCCAACTACGTTGTGGCTGGGACCGGAACGGATGTCCTGATGGGCGTACCTGGACATGATGCTCGCGACAATGAGTTCTGGGCGAAACGTGGTCCAAAAGATGCACCAGTCAAGGTTGTAATCAGCGAGAGTCCAGCCAATGGACAAGGGAAAGAAAGGTCAGAGGCTGGTGTATTCACGGGTCTCGGAATATTAAACGAGAATTGCGGAAGATTTGCAGGGATGAGCAGTGCTGCTGCTCAGAAGGTTTTTCTGGCGGAGCTAAAGATGAAAAACCTTGGTAAGATCCGTGAAAACTTGAGACTTAATGATTGGCTCATTAGCCGCCAAAGATACTGGGGGACGCCCATACCGATAGTTTACTGCGAAAGCTGTGGGATCGTGCCAGTTAAGGAGGAAGATTTGCCCGTGGTATTACCCGATATTGAAAAGCTCAGCCCTAAAGGAGGTAATCCACTAGCGTCAATGAAGGAATGGGTAGAGACTTCTTGCCCAAAGTGTAGAGGAGAGGCTAGGAGGGAGACGGATACCATGGATACTTTTGTGGACTCAAGTTGGTATTTTATGCGCTACGTTGATCCTCATAACAAAGAATTGTAAGTCAACTACTTGCGCGCAAACCAAGTTCTGGTGCAACGGGTCCCGGATTTTGGTGTGTTTTTTCCTCTACCGGCGCCGAAACTTAATTTGAGCGCGAGTATATATTTCCTCAATATTTCCAAACCAAAGATAGCTAACCCCCCAGGCCCTTCTCCCCCGAAAAGGCCAACGAGCTTCTCCCAGTAGATGCCTACATCGGCGGAAGCGAGCATGCAACCCTACACCTCCTCTACGCCCGCTTCATCTCCAAATTCCTGCGCAAAATCAGTATGTGGCCGCCCGGTGTCGATGACGAAAGCCAAGGGGAGCCCTTCAAACGCCTCATAACGCAAGGCATGGTTTTAGGGAAAACCTTCAGGCACCCCATCACCTTCAAGTTCCTAAAACCTGAAGAACTCGCGACGGATCCGGAGACCGATGTGAAGAGGGTATCCGCGGATGGCGCATCTCCGCTGGTTACTTGGGAGAAAATGAGCAAGAGTAAGTTCAACGGGACCGATCCACGAGAGTGCATCTCTCGCTGGGGCGCCGACGCCACGAGGGCGCATTTACTTTTTTCGGGACCAGTGGAAGCGGATTTAAAATGGGACGAAGATAAAATAATCGGGATGCACCGTTGGTTCGGCAAGCTCTGGCGACACACCAACATGCTCTCAAAGAAACTTGCCGAACCTGATTTCTTACTCTTACCAAACCTCATTACCCGCCCCGCAACCGCAACGAGCATCCCGCCGGAAGACCACGACCTCTTCTCCATGCTCCAAGAATCGATCCGGAACAACACCATTGTATTCACAAAATCACCAGCCCTAAACACCGTGGTGTCAAACCTCATCAAGCTAACGAATATCCTCGCGTCCCCGCCCCCCGAAGCCCAGCCAACACTTGCCATGACCTACCGTGCCACGAACGAACTCCTACGAATGCTGGCCCCCATCGCGCCAGGCTTTGCTGAGGAGTGCTGGGCCCACCTTCACACCCATGTCCCTTCCATGTCAGGCACTCGCGTGCTTGAGACCATGTGGCCCTGGTTCGTCTTGCAAGGGGAACGCATAGGTGGGACGACGACTTGTGCCGTGACTATCGATGGGAAGTTCAGGTTCAGGGTAGAGGTTGATCGGGAACGCTTGTTGAGGCAGTTTGGCGAAGGGGAGCAGTACATCACAAAAATTATCGCGGGTGAGGAAAACGCTCGCAAATGGTTGGATGGGAAGGAGATCAAGAGGGTTCTTATCCCGCAGAATGGGAAAACAGTCTTCTTGACGACTAGATGCGTCAGCCGGGCGCCGCCGGATCCTCCTACGAATAATTGTGAGGGGCCTTCATAGATTGTCACTCGAGGTCACATGTACTACTATTTCTGAGGGTATTGATTGTAGATTTATAGATGTGAGCTGCTGGGAGAACTCTGCTCGATGTATGATATACTAGAAGGTCTTGTCACTCCCCTTGAATATGTATCTGGGCGGTACAGCAGTGCCAGCGAGACCCAGCTGGAGACCTCGAGCGTCTGTATTTGCTCCCGCAGGCGTTTGCCCACGGTAGGGGCCCACCTCCGTCAACCAGCCAACCGATAAAGAAAGCGCAATGCTAGGTTCCAGGCACAGGGCGGTGACCTTACCAGACGATCAAGACACCCTTCCCACTCATTCAAGGAGAGTATCATGCATATGATACGGTACGATACTATACATGATGTATAGCAAAGCCCCACTCAAGGCCTCGAGCACCGGCGCTTGCTCCGGTGTTTTCCTTATCCTTTGTTCCCCGTTTGTGTTCCATCCGCATTTCGGGTGTTGTGGCGTTCCCAGCCGAGGGTCTACTCCCAGAAAAGAAGGCAAGTGTATTGTTGGGTTGTGGGTACAGTACAGGGACGGGGACCGGGTAGGATGATCATTATAATACTATCATACTCGGGGTGAGATTAAATGTCCGTAAGGGGTTACTTGCAATTGCATTGTGAACCCGTGATGCCATGGGCCACCATTTACGGACATTTGATCTTACCCCAAGTGGATATGACAATGATTTTCTTGACTGTGCAGTGTGGTATGATGTAGACAGTGTTAGCCATGTATTGGACGTTTTTAGACAATCCTATTACAGAGCAAATTAACGTCCCGTCATAAATTATGGCTCGCAATGCTCGATTCCACCCACCCCCCCTCCTCTTCCCCTCGCACTACCGTATTCTATGTTACTATAGGTTTAGCTTAATCCTTACCGCTCACCATTCATCCATCTAATTCGAAAAAAAAAAGAAAAAAAACCCCCCCGACGACAGTAATCACCACCCTACCCATTTATCCATCCATCGTTAACAGATGAGCAACTTGACGGAACCCCCACACCTACTTCCCCATGCCGAAGTATTACATGACTATGCAATTATAAAAGATAAAAGAAAGGGGAAAAAAGGGTATCTTATTAGACGCCGAATTATAAAAGAAAAGCAGGAAGAACGGCACTCTATCCCCTCCACCCCTCCAACCCTGCAGCATCCCATTCCCCGACCTCCATCTTATCAATTTCCCTCCTAAAAAAGTCCCTCTCCATCTCCATCATTTCCATATCGGCGCCCATACTTTTTGGATACCTCCTAACATTATAAAAATGCGTAAGACTCCGGAGAGCCTGTTCCTGCGGCAAGCTCTCTTCAACCTCACTGTCCACGTCACCACCAGAGAGCCAATCGTCCTTCAGCTCCGGCCTGCAGAACAGGTATATGGAGGTGATGACGCGCATGTTCGACTGCCGCCACTTACGGCCGCAGTAGGGCACTTGCCCCTTGAACACCTTGAGCGTGTACAAGCGCAGATCCCCCTGAGGACACTTCAGCGGCTTACGGAGTATGGTGGAGGACTTGTACTGGACAAGGGAGAGGTTGCGGTGCGACTTGTTCTTGACTATTTTTTGCATTATCCGGATGAAGTTTATTGCTGTGAAGAAGTTGCGCCAGGAGAAGTCCGTTATGGCTTCTGGGGGGCTAGACGGTGGGGCGCCGGAAGGTGGGGGCAGTGGGGGGTCAGGTTCCTTTTGTTCGCGCGGGAATTTGGGGATTGGTGGGGGGCAGGCTTCGTCCGGTGAAGAGCCCAAGTAGGAGTTACTCGGGTTGGCTGGCGGTTCGGATTTTGGCTTGGGGTTGGAGGAGTGGAGATTACAGAAGCTGAAGAAGGACATGTCCCTACGGTCTGTCTTGGCAGTTACGGTTTGGACAATGTCTTGTTGGTTGAGTAACCTAAGGACGAGGGGAAGGTAGTTAGAATCCAAGAGGAGCTGGGTTAAGTACTCAAACTTGAGCACGTCTGTTAAGGGATCTCTAATTAGTTCATGGTATCATACTAACGGCGATAGTTAAAACTTACGAGAAGCCCGAAACCATTTCAACATTCCCATCAAGATGGCACTGACGGCTTTGCTAGTGATCTCCCTAATCCTCTGGGCATCTGCCTCGTCCAGCCTTCTCTTCTCATCGGCTTCGCGCTCCGCACGCTCCTTTTCACGCTCCTTCTCTCGTTCCTTTTCGCGTTCCCGCTCCCGCTCCCTCTCCTTCTCCCAATCGTTTGGTGGCTGTTCGGATCCGTCCTCGCTAATAGTACTTAGTTCCTCCCCTCCATCCCCATTAGCACGACTCGCCCCCGGAGCCGTCCTCCCAAAGATATTCCAAGAATTCCTAATCGAAGACCCGGCATAGTCGACTCTCCCAGTAGCTGGGTCAATGGTTACTGGCCCTCTATGATTATTGCCCTCGCCCTCTATGCATTCATTAGTTTAATGCGGTAGCCTGACCAATTTACAGACACCTTGCTTACCCTCTTTATCTGCAAACGAAACCTGTTGGCTGCCCGGCGGAGGCGGTGGTAGCGGCGGTTGCATGGGGGGCGCATTGACATTGGCCAATATAACCTTCAACAGTACAATCACGAATGATTGTAGTTGAGGCAACACAGCTCTCTGCAGCGGAATATTAGCAGCAGATCCGGGAGATAAAATATAGACGATGGTTTAGAGGCTAGACGAACGTAAAACTCTTCTACTGACTCTAGCCGCTTCTCCTCCCACCGCCGATCCCTTCCTTCGATCTCCTTCCTCTCCCTCAAGATCTCTTCATCAACATCCCATCCCCTTTGGAATTTCAGAAATGCTTCTCGCTCATCCCACATATGCTTCATCGCTAATGTAGATCTCACCCTCCCAGAAAATAAATCTCCAGCCTCCTTGATGCTAGTCGGAACACCACCACCACCCTCCGTTCTAGAAAAAGTGTCATCATCCTCCTTCCACCAACAATTTCCGGCAAACTTCTTGTCTATATCAGAAGAGGAGGAAGGTGGATATAAGAAGGGGAAATTATTGTTTGTTTGGTAATTCTGTTTCTTCCCTCCTTTCCCTCCAAGACCCCCAGGAGACGGCGGAGGCGACGGGGCAGGAGTAGCAATGTGAACTGCCTTATTTAAGATAGATCCCAAATTTTCACCACCACCCTTTCCGCCCAACAGCACGTCTCCATTTCCGCCAGTTCGGCCGGTCGCAGGATTAATGGCAGACGACGGCAGAAACGAGTTTGCAGCTAATTCGAAAGGAAAGAGCGGTTTTGGAGGATCGTATGCCGGGTATTTAGCCATAATGTCTTGCCTGAACGCGTGATAATCCAAGGGTGATGCAGTGATCAGTCCCTTGCCCACCTCCGGATCCAACCCTGCTAGTCCGCGTGCATATGTCTTAACTTTCGCGAGATGTCTATCAGGCTCGCCAAAAACAAGTAGCATGGTTTTCCATGTGAGAAGGAGTATGTTCATTAGCGGTAAATCGACACTATCCTCCCATCGCAAACGGCCTAAGGTTTTTGCCAGAAAACCCAACAAACCACTCTCTCCCGGCAAATCAGCAACCTCATCACGGAGTAACTCAACTTGTTGATCCATCCCCGGCATTGCCCCCTCTGCATCCTCGTCATGGTGGCGGGTGACCTCCACCAGAAAGTATAATACCGTTAAAGCGTACCGGAGTTCCTTCTTGTTCCATCCCCGGTCCCCTTCCTTCGCCTCGTCCCTCGAATTACTACCCGCAGCAGCATACTCTAATTCCCTTCCCACCGAACCCCGAACACAATTAAATAACGCCTCTACAAGCCCTGCCCGCCTTACTAGGGCAACATTTTTCTTTATCCTGTCCAGGTGGTCCTCCTCGGAAACAGTCTCCCCAAATACACCCTGAACAACGTAGGCCAACCCCTCAAGACCCTTTACTCGTTCCCTCTGGTTTGTATGCTCTAGGAGGTCCGCGCATCGGGATATAAAACGCCTCCGCTTGACATCTTTGCTAGTAGTCCACCTCGGGGGCCGCTTTCCGGCGAGCGATTCGATTGTTTGGTGGGGCGGAAGTGAGAGAACAGCGTAGGTTTCTTCAAAGGTTTGCTTGGAAAGCAGCAAGAGCGAGAGGTCGTTTGCGAGCGAGTAAGAGAACCACTCGTTCAGCTCCGCAGTAATAACATCCGCAGAGGAGTAACGAAAGGCGTATTCCGGTTGCTGGATAACTGTCAGATTTCCTCTTTGACATTTCCCCAAGCACGCAACAAGCATTTAAACAGGTGGGGGCAGCAACCGCAGCAGCTCCCGCGGAAAGCCCAACCACCCGGTTCGGAAAGTAACATTCCAATTGATTCCCGAAAACTCCCCTGTGGGGCGTAAAAGCAAAAGGAAGCATTGACCAAACACACCTTTAACCTGGGCGCCTCGATGACCAGCCTCTTCAACTGCATCAAGCTTAAGGAATCCTGCATCAATCCGGGTTGCCCCCCACCATCATTCCCGGCACCATCACCACCACCTATCGGGCTAAGGGAGGGTTCCTCCTCCTTTATTTTGCTCGCGTCGATGCGGACTCTGTTTGTGAGGTCTGCTGCAGATCCCGACGGCATGATGGGGGTGTCGCCTCCGCCGGCTCCTCCTCCTCCTCCTCCACCACCGTCTCCGGAATCACCGTTGGCGTTGCTCGGCGAGAAGCCGGAGGTTTGTCTCGTGAAGCCGGAGTGCGACATTGTGGTCAAAACGCTCGCGTAGGTTTGGGAGGCTCTGACCCGATGGGTGGTAGGCACGGTAAGGCTGAACTCCCCTACCGGTAGTCGTCGCCTCTATCAGGGTAACGGCACTTGCTACAATCTAGTAGGCTACCATGTGAGACTCGTCTGTGATGCACGATCAATAAATCGTATTGGTGCCGGAAAGTTACATAATAAAATCCACTGGGATCCCCCTGTTACCCGGCTAGAGGATGCGTGGGGGGCTTAGATCCCCCACCCACCGTACCGCAGCCTATCGGTATCATACTGCACACTGGAATTCCCGTCGATAGATAGTGACAACATCAACCCCCGATATATTCCCCATCACTTGTATGCATAGTACCGTCTTCCGAGAGAGCCGTCCGGACCATCTGGTAAGGCCACTGCCTATTGATATGCACAACCCAAAATCACTCTTTCTTCCCCGCTCGCCGGGAGCGCACCGCCGCTAACGCTCAATGCGGCACCCGCGAAAGGCGGGCGGAATGACAGGCAGAGAAGGGAGGAAAGCCCGAGCAAACCATCTCTAAAAACATAAATGGAAAGAGGGAATACCCGTCAAGCTCTGGAGAATAGGAGGATAAGTTTTCAAAGTAAACTCAAAGTTATCCTACCAAAATACCGGTATATCGGTTTTGTGCTCGAGTGCTGTGATGCAGAACCCGTGCGAGGATCCTACCGCAAATCCATTTCACAGGGCTGTCTGTCGGTAGGGCAGGGCGCCGTACCCGAAGGGTCCCATACCGGTATTTCCAACTGTCTGTTGTGCAGATTGATAATGGTCTGTTCTAAGGTAATTATGATGTCTGCCTGGTTGTTTAACCCGTGCTAAAGTACGTAAGGGTGTCCCCCAGTGGCCTAACGTCGCCACCACAACTTGAAGCTGATGTACCGATCCCGAACCCTGGATCCACAGTTATGTCGCCAGGGCTATCGCACCTGCTCCAGAATATGGTGCCGGCATGGCACGGTAACTTACCGTGCTTTGTGGATCCTGGTTTAAGCAGACGACAACGACGCATTAAAGTTTCATACAAAGGCGTGGAGCTTCCACCACCTCTGGTGCAACCCGACCCCAACAAGGAGGTAACAAGATGCAGTTGCACACCCGCCACTCTCTCCGTCTGTCATCGCGAAACTTCCACGGAACTAGCGTGCGCTTTTCTGCTAGACGAATCCCAATTCCATTCGAAACACACCTTCAACCCCCCCTGCACGTTACCGAAAAATGTCCCCCGAGCTGTGTCTGCTCCCTCGAGAGCTTACCGAAAGATCTAGATATCGATAGGGCCACGTCGTTGAGGGGCACTATGGCAAATTATTACCGCCATTTGCTCGTCTGCACGGGCCGTTCGGATTGGGCGTCAAGAGTCGAGCTGGATGTTTCTGAGCCTGGTGGCGGACTGGCCGGGAAGATCAAAGAGCTGACGGCAATGAGGGGTGGGGGGAGGAAGGATCTGAGGGATCCGTTTGCGCCAACTTTGGTCACTAATTCGTCCTTCGAGCGGGAACCGGGGGTTGAAGAAGGTCAAGGGGTAGCATCGGCTTATATTTTCCCTAGCGGAGTTTACCTGCCAAAGATTCCGGTTGAAGATGAAGGCGTTGTTGAACTCGTGAGGAGGTTTTTATTACCTGGTGGAGGAGAGGTGGAGTCCGGATTGGAGAGCAGGGAGGTTTTGGAGACAGTCGTGCTTATCTGTTCGCACAATTCTCGGGATACACGGTGCGGGCTTGTAGCGGAACCCTTGAAGAGACAATTCGAGAAGGAGCTCGCGGAGAAGGGGGTACTACTGGAGGGTTATGGGGATGAGGAGGGGGGAGCCGGGAAGGCGCGGGTGGGTTTCACAAGTCATTTGGGTGGACATAAGTTTGCCGGAAACATTGTGGTATACCGACCTGATGGTCTGGGAGTATGGTATGGACGGGTTGAGCCGAAACATGTTACCGGAATTGTGACGGAGACGGTTTTGAATGGAAGAATTGTCGGTGAATTATGTCGTGGCGTAATAGGAAAAACTGGGAGGGTTGATGTGTAGATGGGACTCAAGTGCTTGCTGCATAATACCGGTGTGGAAGTTGTCTCTGTTGCCTTCCATAATTTGGATGGTGCGATTGACTGAACAGATGCCTGTGTAATATGGTTTACTGTATGATGTTATATTCAATCAGATTAGAGCATAGAATTGTGCTGATGAAATTGACAGTAAAACACAGTGAGAAAGCAAGTTAAAAAGAGCAGGGAAACAGCACCCAGAAACAGCAGGAGGGAAGGTAGTGTGGGTGGTTGTATGGGATGGGTCCACCGTACTTCATTCCTCCTCTCTCTCTGAGGAAGGCAAGGCCATGCCTTCAAATGAAAATTTTCCACCTGCTAAGCCTCATCCCAAACGGTTAATTCTGTGGGTGAAAACCCACAAAACATGACCAGAAAACCCCTAAAACCCTCTTCATGCCACACCGGTACTCGATGATCCGGCATTGTGTTATATAATACGGTAGAGTTTGGATATCCACTGACAGATGATAAATCCCATTTTTAACCCCGTCCGAACTCACGAGAGTGATAGAATGTTTACCTCACTTGCCAGGAGCAATGAGAGGGTAGCGAAGCCCCAGATACTAGTATTTCATGCTATACGAGAATTCTCCATCCAAGTAAAAATGCAGCAAAGCCAGATGCCTTCCAAGAAGTCTATTATTGCTAGAATTGGGGTGAAGGTGAGAGTACAAAATTCTATGATCTACCACCATATATGCATTACCATGATCATAAAGAACCGGCGATAAGTTAAACCAAACCCCTAAGGTAGAGAAAACAGAGTGGTATGTATCAGGGAGAAACATCCCTTAGGGACAGCAAGAAAAATGTAGAAATAAGCTAAGCAGTATCATAAAATTACAATGTGCTGCCTTATGAGTCCGTCCATCCGCTCAACCACGCCGGGTAACATAGGGCGGAGGTGGATGTTCAAGTTGCGAGCGCAGTACCGTATTATCTTCTGTTATCCGGTTTTGTGCCAAGCTGTGATCTGCATGACGAATTTGCCATATTAGGAAGGTGAGATAAGAACTCTCCTACTTTTTGATATTGAGAACTTCGCTTATGACAACAGTCCAACAATACTACCGTACTCTCACGATCCAGTTTCATACCAGCCCTCAAATCTAACCAAATAAAATAAACACTCCCAGAGGCAAATATGTCTCATAACTACCCATACAAAACATAAATCAAAATATACAACCAACAAGCTCATGGGTGCTCGGGCCGGTCGGCGGCGTCCTGGGTTATGGTGTCTTCCTGTCTTACAACCCTCAGTTCTAAATCCTGTACAAAAAAAAAAACCCCCATTTAGAAAGGGTTAGAACCTGGTAGCTAGTGAGGAGGTCATTTGGTTCATAGGACTTCAGGCAGTAAGACCATGGTTCTGCGGTAATTCATCTGGATCTAGTACCACTGGGGCTATATTAACAAGTTCTCCCCTGTCAGGACAACTTGCTTTTTGCTCCTCAGCTTCTCTAGAAAATGTGTGACAATAGCCTTCACAAGCCCATATATAGTGAAGGTTATTGTAGGATGACTCTGAGGTTTCTTCGGGAAGTACGCAGAAGCTTTGAGTTGGTTGTTGGGAAATCGGAACCGGTAGATCTTGAGACCAGTCTCCTATCACAATATTGGCTGCTGTAAATCCTTTGATTTTGATATCATAATCACAGCTACCATTGATAGGTAAGATTACTCCAATATCATGAAAGGATTTTCGAATCAAGTCAAATTTCTGGTGACAAAATGCCTTCCATGCATGGGCAACAACATGTGTAGTCATGATATACTTCTTGCTCACTGACGATTTATGAATATCGGCTATCTCAGTATGCTCATCAAGATAGGCATTAGTATACTCCTGTAAAAATTGCTTAAATGGCTTATTAACTACAGTATCTAAAGGTGGCAAAAGCCCAGTGCAGCCACCTGGAATGATTGATAGTATAATATTATTTACATGAAGGGTAGCAAAAATATTATTGGTAATATAAAAGGCTGCAAGGTCCATAAGCAAAAGACTGCATAGAGTCTTCATACAAGAATTGGTTGGAGGAGGAGAATTGGTGTTTGGCTACTAGATACTGGACATAGGACTTGGAGCCTGAGGCTGAAAGGAAACGGGTTGGTTGAGTGTGGGGATGGGTTCTTAGTGTATGAAGGTTTTAAAAAGAGACTCATTGTTGTAGGCTGTTTCATTAAACGATACAGAAGTTTCAGAACTCCATAAATGACTTTCTTTTTTAATGATACTTGTACTAGTCTTTGCATGAAATATGATCTTGGGTTTAATCCGTGGAATCCTATCAGCAAATATTTATAGAATCAAAGTAGCTTGTCATTTGTCCCAGTCACTACCATCTGTTTTACCAGTAACTGTCTGCAAGCCTTTGATCTCATAGGTTTTGCCATCAAGATACTCAAAGGGAATTGGTGTTTCATCTAAGTTGAGAATATTGCTTAGACGAAAGTATCTGATATCTCCAGTAATACTAGCTTTCTTCCAGGCATCATGGGGTTGAAAATTTCGTCAGTTAAATCTGAGCCAGTTTACTACTATCTGCTAATATTTATCTGGTAATTTAGATGACTTTTTTGTAAGTGCTCTGCAGGAGATATACCATAGTTGCAAAAATCTATTGAACCAGCCTGTAGAAAAAACAAAAAGATTTGGGCTTGTAGAATAGTGTTTCTTGAACAATTGCAATGCTGTTTGACAAAACCAGCCGCACCGCACCAGCCTGCCATTTTGTCATTGTTTAATGAAAGTAGAAAACAATTCCTCTTCCATATCTGGCCATGCGCATTTCTAGTTAACCAGTATTTGCCTATGGGAACCAGCCTTCTGCCGTAGAATATCCTCCTTCTTGCTTCACCATTCCTGGATAGTGCTTTGTGGAATTTTCCATAATGTAGATGCTTCAATAATTGTTGGCCTTCAGTATTGAGTCTCACTAGTATTTGTTGCTACTCAATAGTGCATCAAAAACAAAAGTACCTCGATCTTCTGTTTATGGCTATAGCTTTGACGAATGCGCCTAATTGGTCCCTGTGGTTTGTATACCCTATCCTCAAATGCTTTTAGCTTTGGTCCTGAATGTATGGGGGCTCTGTAAGAGGTTACTCGGACTGCATGATGGCCAACATTTTGTAAATCTACTGTATTGGCTGACAGTGTCTTCAAAGCTGGCCATACAGCATATACGCTGAGAAAAAAACATACTAAAAAAAGTAAAAGAGCAATATGAAAGAGTTTTTAGCAATTTATTTTAGATCTTGTTCATGTGGGATGTATGCAAAACTGTAGTTAAAATTTGATTGTCGTTGGACATAAGATTGTGTTAAGAATCCTACCAAGTAGGACCTAGCGACAGGTAACGTTATTTCTCTATAAGATGATAGCTCTCAGACCTGTGCCTACGCGATCCTGATAGTCTAGTCCTGTGACTACTATCATATTTGCGCCTATCTCCTTATCCTCTTTCTCAGTCCTCACTTTAGGACTTAGTCGTTCGACGTGGGAGGAGAAATAGTTTTCTCGCTTGAGAGGAAAGATAATTCTCGGGTTTCTTAAGATAAATCTTAAAGAGCGTAAAGGTAGGTTTTATTGATAATAACTTAAAGGTAGGAAATAAACAAGAAGAACGTGTGAAGAGCTCATACTCGGGGTCCTAGTGACCCTTTATATAGTCGCTCTTCACCTGGCATGACTCACACCTCCTGTCACGGGAACCCTGTGACTCATAACCATGAGTCATATGAAATCCATCAGACGACTCCTATGAGTCGCTGCACAACATGCCTAAACCAATCAAAATATAATAACCAAGTCAGGTGCACAACTCGCGTCACCTGAGTGAAACCCATGACTCATAAGTATGAGTCATGTGCGAAAATCATAACATCGTGTGACTCACAACTGTGAGTCACGAACAGGTAAACATAATAACCTATGGCGCACTAGTGTGCGTCATTGTAACGGGCAGGGTCTGTGGGTCGGGTAGCCCAAGGCACACC